TGACATTTTGGGTCTAGACCCTTCTTCAGAAAAAGGGTCTGAAGAAGGGTCTAGACCCAAAATGTCAACCTTCCTGCTCCTCTGATGTTGCTTGGCCTGCTGTGTTCATCCAGCTCTACACCTTGTTATCTCAAATTCTCCAGCATCTGCGGTTCCTACTATCTCTAGTTTAAATTAAGTAAGGAGATCTCAACTATACCCCCATGTGACGAGTAAATATTTGTACTTTCTTCAGCGTCAAAGCAACATAACATCAGTACCCACTAATCAGTTTTCTGCTGTCTTAATCAAACTGTAGCTTTTCGCAGAATTTTTTTTAAACAATCTAAAACACTAACTTGCATGATTCATGGTCGATTTTAGAGTCAGTGATCTGCAAGTGGGAGGGAGACAGAAGCACTCTACCAAACAGTTACAATTTTGGAAATTGTTGATTGTACCCAAAGAACTACCTATATTTTTCTTTCAAATGTTTTATACAGGAGTATAGTCTGCCTTTGAGAAACTGTAACCTGTGAATCTGTCGTACTTCAGTCACACAGGGAAATCGGTGTTTGTTATGCGATCGAAATCTTGTCTCACGTGCCTCCTGACACTTCATGTTCCTCGTCTATTTAATTAGTTTATAAATAAAGATGCAGTCATCATAGGGTATCATGGGATGTGAGTTAGCTGCCCTTTTTGTGTGAAACCTTTTGTTCCAGTATATCATCAATCTCTCATTATAGTTAAATGGAACGTAATTGTGTAATCTTATCTGATAAAAAATTATCTTTAAGATGTCTGTTTTCAAAATTAGTAACAGTTCTGAGGATGTGGGTGTCACTGGCTGGGCCCAGCATTTATTGCCCGTCCCTAGTTGCCCCTTGAGAAGGTGGGGGTGAGCTTCTTGAACCACTGCAGTCCGTGTGCTGTGGTTAGACCCCCAATGCCCTTAGGGAGGGAATTCCAGGATTTTGATCCCATGACAGCTCAGTGACACTGAAGGAACTGCGATACTAAGTAAATGGCTTGGAGGGGAAGTTGCAGGTGGGAATGATCCCACGTAAAGGCGCACATTTGCAAGTGGATTTGTGCTCGAGTTGGAACATAATTCAATACAATTTAAAATACTGTTCATAAGTGTGAGCGAATGTTCACATGTCAGATTCTTAACAGTAATACAGGATCTCGTTCATAAGTATGAGTGTTCATAAGTCAGACATTCACAAGTCCAGGGCCTGCTGCTGCCTTTGTCCTTCTAGATGGTACTGGCTGGGGGTAGGTACAGTTGAGGGAGCCTTCAGGGTTAGTGGGGTGTTTCTTGTAGATGGTACACACTCTGGTGGCAGTGGAAGGAATAAGCATTGAAGCTGGTGGATATGGTGCCAATCAAGCTTTGTTCTGGCTGGTGTCCAGCAGCTTGAGTTTTGTTGGGGCTGTGCCCATCCAGGCAAGTGGGGAGTATTCCATCACACTCCTGACTTGTGCCTTGTAGATGGTGGACAGGCTTTGGGGATTCAGGAGGTGAGTTACTCATCGTGATATTCCTAACCTCTGACCGGCTCTTGTAGCCACTGTGTTTACGTGGTGAGTCCAGTTCACTTTCTGGGTGGTTGTCACTCCCAGGATGTTGATGGACTTTGATGTGTCAATGGTGTTGGAAAGGGCACTGTTGGAAGGAAATTCTTGAATCAGCCTCAGTGTCTGATTTCCAGGGAGTCCTGATACATAGAGCCACACCTATCTGCATATTATGACTGCACTGAAATATCAAAGTGCTTTCTGTAGCTTTGAGGTGCTCTGGTTGCTTTAAAACAAAAGTATTTACAAGATTTCTTTTAGCGAGTAACTAGAAACATTGATAATTGAGACTTCCTGCCAGGAAACAGAATGGTTGGTCTCCATCTCACTGAGTTGTTCTCTGCAAACCCTGTAGAGTCATGGAAATGTTACACCAGGCGAGACCATTCAGCCCACAGGGCCCATTCTAACCCTCTGACTTGAATACCGTTCCCGACGTGCATAATTTTTTAAAAAAAATGTATTTTTTTTTAAGCTTTGACAGATACTACACAATTTCTGGTAGGAAACTGCAGGAGGTTCCGTATAAAAGCAATTCTCCAACCTTACCCATTTACTCTGCTGCTGGTCTTTTTAAAGTTCTGTTTTTTTTTGATTATCAATGCACTGATCAGAATTTTATTGTCTGTCTTAACTAATTGAAAGCTCTTGACATCATGTTTCCAAGTCACTATCTCATGAAAGATCCTCCATTTTTCTGGTCTCGCCTCAGCCCTGGTATCAATCCATTGAATGTCTTCTTGGCCTTTCCATCCTGCCTAAAGTAAGGTACCCAGAGCTGGGTAAACAATTCTAACTAGTGGCTCTAACTAGTCAGTTGTACAGCTCTGTATTAGCTCTGTGTTTTTGTACTTGATGTCATGGTAGTGTCCAATAGCGTCAATTCAACATGACGGTTGGGTATAGCAGTGCCCGACAGTGGGGGCGGTTGGGTGTAGCAGTGCCCGACA